CTCGCGCGGCTGCATTCTGGACAAGCTGAAGTCTCCGAATGCTCTTCAAGGGCTGCCCCATGTAGAGCACGTCATCGTATGTTTTAGCCTCCAGTCCCCTAATCATCCTGGTTGCTCTTCTTTGCACTCTTTTTAGAGTTCTGCACTCCTTGGATGGGAAGCAAAACATTTTCTTCATCAACAAATAAAACAATCCAGTTGCCTTTCGAATAAAGCACCTTTGAGATAACTATGACTTGGATGACTGAGAATCTCCACAGACACCATCCCCATATCACATACTCCATTTGGGGGAGTCATCCTAGTTCCCTTTTCCATGCTGGGAGCCCGCAGGTCTAAACTCATAATGTACCACTGGAAAAGATCCAGATCAGCTTGGCTCTGTGGTATCCAGGCCCATGGGTATCAGTGTCCTTTTTTCTCTCAGGTTCCAATCTCTCAACACAAGAGCTTTTTTCAAAAGCAGGTTGTTCCAGATCTTTGAATTGTTTCTTATTATCAGATTGGTAGTATAGGTTGAAAAAAAAAAGTTGGTTTCACTTTTTGTGATGTTTAGAACAAACTGGGAGTAGTATTTAAAGACATTTCTGCAGGTTTCCTAAATCTTTGTTAAATTCTCTTTTAACCTAGGTAACCATCACCACATTCCTGGCAAAGCACAGAAAAGGAGTAGAAATAGTAAGTGAAAGAAATTAATAGCATGAGATATGAGGTATCTTAGGTAAAAGGTAAAGGTTCCCCTCCCATATATGTGCTAGTCATTCCTGATTCTAGGGGGTGGTGCTCATCTCCATTCCAAAGCCGAAGAGCCAGTGCTGTTCAAAGACATCTCCATGGTCATGTGGCCGGCATGACTAAATGCCGAAGGTGTGCAGAATGCTGTTACCTCCCCACCAAAGGTGGTTCCTATTTTTCTACTTGCATTTTAATGTGCTTTTGAACTCCTAGGTTGGCAGAAGCTGGGACAAGTAACTGGAGCTTACTCCGTTACGCGGTGCTAGGGATTCAAACCGCTGAACTGCTGACCTTCTGATCTACAAGCTCAATGTCTTAGCCACTGAGCCACCGCGTCCCCATATATACTTTGTACCAAAACCACTCTTTTCTGTCCTTGCAAACTCATGCTTAACTCCACTACATCAGGGGTGTCAAACTCACAGCGTCACGGTGGCATCACGTGACATATCCCTTCGCTAAACCGGGTGTGGCCAGTGGGTGACGCATCCGGCCTGTAAGCCGGGAGTTTGACAGCCCTGCACTACATCCATCTATAATTTATTTTTTATTGTTTAAATCAGGTTTCCCCAACCTTGGCAACTTTTAAGATGCATGGACTTCAACTCCCAGAATTCTTCAGCCAGCCATGCAGCAAGCCATCTCTTACAGATAGTTCTAGACTTACAACTACAACTTAGACTAAAATTTCTGCTGCTAAGTGAAACAGTTAAGTGAGTTTTGCCGCATTTTATTATCTTTCTCGCCAGTGTTGTGAATCATTGTAGTTATTAAGTTCGTAACATGGTTGTTAAGTGAATCTGGCTTTCTCATTGACTTTGTCAGAAGGTCGCAACATGATCCCCCCCCCCCAGGACACTGCAACCGTCCTAAATTAGGAGCCAAGCATCTGAATTTTGATCACATGACCATGGGCATCCTGTAATGGTGCTAGGTGTGAAAAAGTCACGAGTCCCTTTTTTTCAGTGCTGTTGTAACTCCGGTCACTAAACGGGTAGTTTTAAGTCGAGAACAACCTGTATTTGCTATATTTCTTTCACCATTCCAACATCTTAAAAGCTCTTAATCTGTTTTCCCACCATAAAAGAGAGAGAAAAAGAATATCATTTCCAATTAAGTTCCTGGTTACCTAATTTTTTTAATATATTTTACTTCGGAACTCTAAGGAAGGTTACTAAAGTAAGATGGCAGGCTGAACCAAAGTAGGCAGAATGGAAGTCTACATCCAATATATGCTGATGCAAGGAATCTATTTTAGCCCATCCACCTGCTTGTCCTTTTAATTTGTTTATTAGACATATATTGTTAGTTCCCCAAAATACCAGATGTGCTTGTCCGTTGGCTGATCTATGCACCATGACATCCAGTAGACATAATATCTCTGTAACTCAAGGGCAAATCCTGAGAGGTGCTTCCAAAACTAACAGATGGCTTATGGCTAGATATGGTGAACGCATCATCACCACTATATAAGGAAGTCCCTGAATCCGACTCGGGGTTCAGGCCATTTACTTTTTACTTTGAATCTGCGCAAATAAACTTTTCCTTCTCTGAAGAGATGGCTTGTGTCTCGTCATTTCCTACAACATTAGGAGACCACAAGGTGTGAGCCTCTTAATAAGGAATTAAACCTGTTTTCCTTCATCTTGGGGGCGGGGGAAAATGATACTATTGGCTTGTATCAACTTTCCACATTTTTGGGCATGTGTTTATATGTATTTATATGGGTGTTGCTTTTCTTTCCATCAGGACTAGAGTTAGCAGAGGCTGAAACTGAAACCCTCCTGCATGATCAAAGCATTTTGGTCTTCTGAACATTAACATGAGAAACCACCAAACCATCAGTCACTCGTGCCCTTGTGACCTCTAGGCTGGAGTACTGCAATGTGCTCTACATGGGGCTGCCCTTGAAGAGTATTCG